AATAATGATAGCAAGCAAACTACGCATAGATGTGAGACGAGCAATTGGAGCAAATGTTTCCTTATAGTCTATTCCATACTCTTATGTAAAACCCTTGGCAACTAAGCGTGCCTTGTAACGCTCCACTGAACCATCAGATCTTGTTTTGATCTTGTACACCCATTTACAACTTTTCAGCATGGAGATCAACTAAATCCCATGTACGAGTGTTCTTAAGAACTTGTAATTCATCTTGTATAGCTTGTTGCCAAAGAGGGTTAATATAGGCCTCTCGATATGATTGAGGCTCATGTAAAGAAGTAATAGTAAGAAAACAATGATAATCACAAAGGTAGTTGGAAAGGTTTCTTACTCGAGTAGGACGACTCGAGGATGGGACAACAAGCTCATTTGTAGACTCAACAATATCAAATGCAACAGAAACAAGTGATATAGATGAGGAAGCAGAGGAAGGTTCAAAATTATCTAATGCATTACCAATAGACAAATCATCTTCTGCAAAACTAGTTGGAGTATGTGGTGAGGTATTGTAAAGTTCATCAGATGTACTTGCATAAGAATCATTAGGGAATAGCTCAACAGAAAGATTAGTAAAAATTGGAGGTTGATCAAAAGATGACACCTGTAAGTTTTATAATGAGGAAAACATAGTGTGTTCCTAAAAGGCAACATGATGTAAGAGTCAAAGTTTTTCTAACACAAGATCCTAACAACAATATCCTTTATGTGTAATCCTATAACCCAAAAAGCAATATAATTGAGCTTTAGGCTCTAGCCTGTTATGTTTATGAGGTGGAAGAAGAACAAAACAAGCACAACAAAAAACCTTAAGAAGATTATAGGCAGGACGAATATGCAAACATTCGTAAGGAAACTTATTGTTAATAACTGATATTGAATCTGATTAATGAGATAAACAAGTGTAAGAGCAGCTTCACCCCAAAATCGCTCTGGACAAAAAGACAAAATGAGTAGAGCACGAATAGAATCAAGGATATGTTTGTGTTTGCGTTCAACTTGCCCATTCTATTTAAATGTGTAAGGAATAGATTGTTGTGTTAGTGTACCTTGTTTTTTTGAGAAAGGATTGAAGTTTAGTGCTAAGACGTTCAGTAGCATTGTCAGTTCTCAAAACTTTGATAATTTTAAAGAATTGGATTTTAACCATGATAGCAAAATCAATATAAATATGTGATAACTCAGAGCGATTTTTCATAAGATATATTCAAATAAAACTAGTATGATCATTAATAAATAACACAAAGTACCTGAAACCCCCCATGGTAGGTCTTGGAGATGGACCCTAAACATTAGAATGCACGAGATCAAAAGAAGCAGTAGAAAGAGAATGACTACTAAAAAAAGATAAAGTGGGTTGTTTTGCAAATTGACGTGACACACAATGCAAGGATTTATTTGGAACATATTCTAATAAACCGTGAGAGCTAAGTGAATGAAGTTTATCGATTGAGATATGTCCAAGCCATGAGTGCCACAAATGAAAAGGAGAAATGTTAGTAGCAGCACTGGCTAGGAAGATTTGTTGATATGGAATTTGCAAAGACTCTAATTCAACAACACAAAGCAGAGTTTGGATGAATCAATCATTTGGAAATGATAGTGTATCCATTTTATTATCAAGAATATGAAAATAGTTAAGCTCAAACAAACACCCCACCTTGCAATCAGTTCCAAGAAGTTGTCTTGTTCGTGGATCCTACACATGACAACCATAAGCAAAAAATGTTACTTCAAAACCAAGATCACATAATTGACCAATAGGTAGAAAATTATAACTAATTTTTGGAACTAAGAGGGCATTTGGTAAAGTCAATGACTTGGTAGAAATATTGCCAATCTGACTAACATCATAAGGGAACCATCAGCAAAATAAATATTAGGAAAGGAATTATTTGATGACATTGAAGAGAAATAAGTAGTAATTGAAGACATATGTTTACAACAACCAGAATCAAAGTACCAACATTTGGTACCTGGAGCAGTAGATAAGGCAGTAGGAGCATTAAAAAGATTTAATATCACCTATTTTAGGGATTCAAGGTTGACATTAGGTTGGTCTATAACTTCTTTGGCAACCATAATAGTAGTAGGAGTTACAGTCTTTTCAAAACTCACCATAGAATCAGTAAAACTCATAATACTGAAAACTCTAAAAATATGAAGAAATAGATGCCAAGATCGAAATAACAAACCAAAAAAATACCTCAGAAAAGACTTGAGAATCGAGGATAAACAATCCAATCTATTGGAGAAGAGATCCCAACGACAAAGTTTTAGATCTAGAATGGATTTGAAAATCCAACTCCAAAAAACAAACCTTGATAATAAGAGAAAAGAACTAGGAGTTTATAACTCTAATACCATGTTGAAATAGAAAAGAATAATAATTTGAAGAAAGGTTTATTGCTTTTTTATTTTCATTGTATAAACAAGAGTCTTATATATAGATCTATACAATAGAATATTCTTAGGTATAAAATTATACAATAAAATATTTCTATGTATAAAACTAATTAACTTAAATGTATATAATCAATTACAATATGAATATAATATTAATTTTAAAATAAATACTGATATTCTAACAGATACAAAAGTTTAACTCAAACTAATTTGTCATGGAGATATGAGTTGCATCAAATGCACAATTTAACTCAATAGTAATGAATTTGTTCTAAAATTTTCAAATAAGCTTAGATTTTGATCTTCAATTTATAATGATTGTGAATGAGCATTATGTTAGTTTAAAGGGTTGTTTGAATTAATCTTTTCGAAACAGTTGATTATTGATAATTGATACTAACAATTAATAATTATTATTATTTATAATTCAAAAAATTTAACTCATTTAATAAAAACTATCACCTAATAGTTGTTTTCAAAAATCGAAACAAATACTCTTTAAATTTTACATGAAAAGAGATATGAGAAGAATTTAGTTACTGCAAACATATGGTAGGTTTTTTTTTTTTGTACAACAAACACTATTGAATTATCTCATAGTACGAGGCTCAGAAATGCGTAGCATATTCATTTTTAGAAGTTTACTAACACTATTCAAAGGGCATTTATTTTAGCATAAGGAAATGTTCACAATGGCATTTTGAATCTAATAAGTGGCAAGAGTGGATGTGATTGTTAATTAGAGGTAAGATTTTGATGATAACTTACATCTTGTTATAGAAATCAATAATCATCATCATGCTACAACATCTCAAAGTCAGTTTGTTTTGTTAACTAAAACTGATAAATAATATAAATTGATTGATTGCCTTGACTTGACCAAATGACAATCTACAGGCTTAATGGGTAAGATCAAGGTTTGTTCGTGTGGATAATAGAATGCACCTAGCCAAGTTATTTATTTATTTTACTAATTTTTTATTATCTAAAATTTATATTAAATTTTAATTAATTTGAAATTAAATTATATTCAATCTTACAAGAAGGAAGCTCTTCGGTACTTATTTTTTAATTCATAAGACCTAAATTTAAAATCTTGTATTAGAAAAATCAAATTCTTTCTACTTAAAGTAATAAGTAGTAGGTATTTTTTTCTTTCTAATTGATTGACAAGAATAAAAAAACTTTTTTAATTAAAAAGAATTTGAATTTTCTATTTTATAGCTAAATTTTATTAAATTATAAATTAGAATTTATTGAATAAAAAATAATTTTTAATATTAAAAAATTTATTTTTATCAAAAAATAAATGTTATATAGTTTCGGTAAAATTAGAATAACACAGATAGAAAAATATGAGAAAAATAGAAAAAGCTAAAAGACATGGGATGGGAGCATGTGGGCTTAATTTACTAAATAGTTTAGTAACTTTTATATTTTTTTTATTTCTTTTTTTTTTTTTAATTCCTTTTGATTCATTTATTATCTTTTATTTTTATTTTAGTTTAGTTTAATTTATTAACTTTCTATCAACAGTTCCACTCTATTTGGTTTAATTGACCTTCAAGTATATCTTTTATGAATTTTTATTCCTTAAAATTAATTTTAAGATAAAACTAATTTTATGAGAATGATAAGTTCATTTTCACTATTTAAAAAACTATAATCTTTATCATATGTTACTTAAGTTTTTCCTTTTGACAATTCTTCTTTATAATAGAAACCAAAATTACTAACTTATTTTAATAATTATCACAGTTTGTTGTAGATTGCTTTGTTAATTAGACTACTTTATACCAATGACTTGTTGGTTTGAGTGGAAAGAACTTAGTTTTCTTTAAGTAAGATCTCAAGTTCGGATTTTGTGAATGGAGAAATAAGCGTTGGGAGAGCTTCCCTCCTAATGGTGTCAGATACGGCTCGATTTTAGATTAATCGGGACCTAATATGGTTACTAGATAATGAGGGATGAATACCAAAAAAAATAAATAAATAAATTACTCTATTTTGATTTTAATTCTGATTTAACTTTTTTGTCTTCTTTTTTTGTTAAAACTAATGAAATTTTTATATAGTAAATTATTCTGAAATATTTTATAAAATTTATAAATTATTTAGAAAAAAACTAATTTTTTAAATTAAAATAAAATAAAATAAATAATTAATAGATAAATTATTGAATTAAGTCCAGCGTGTGTGGGTGGGGATATACGGCCTTGATAGGGCCTAGCGGCCCCCTCGTCCGTCCCCCATCTATCAGGGACGGCTCAGCCCAGCCCAACCCAGCCCAACCCACCCCTCCATTATCATCATTAATGGCCTGCTGCCAAAACAGAACCTCATTTAGATTGCTAGTAATTATTTCCCTTCCCCTCCGCTTTCGATTTTTCTATTTATTTTTCATGTTTGTAGCAGCAACAGTGGAGATTGGAGAATGTGGGAGACAACTAAAAACATTTAAGGGGCTACTAAACAGTTGACAGTACATCTTCCGGCCCTCCCCATGGGCCATCCCGGCCCCATTTTTTCTATATTTATAGCCCCCATTGCTTTACCTAGCTCTCCATCTATCCACCACCAACTTCTTTGAGTTCTCTTGTAAATCAACTCTCTTTTTCTGCATTTCGACATGGCGGATGCCGGTGGCTCAGCCGGTACTAGGAGGATGTGGTGTTCGGTTCCGGAGCGGCTACAGCTGCACGCGGCCATGTTGGCCCTGCAGTTTGGTTATGCTGGATTCCACGTTGTCTCTAGGGCTGCCCTCAATATGGGCATCAGTAAATTTGTTTTCCCAGTTTATAGGAACATCATTGCCCTGCTTCTGCTCCTTCCATTTGCTTATTTTCTTGAAAAGTAATTAAGTCACTACTTATAAACACTTAATTCTTGTATATATTAGCTTCTTTAATTGACATCATTTAATTTCCATTTCTCTGTCTTGGGCAGAAAGGAAAGGCCAGCCATTACCTTCAATTTTCTGTTGCAGTTCTTCCTTCTTGCTATGGTTGGGTAAGATTAAAATCGATCTATAAATTCATAGTAAACAAAAACTAAAGAGAGAAATGAAACCGAATTCAAAGGTTTAAATTTCTGACTTTAACAGAAATAAAAACAAAATTAACTTGCATTCTTTGCGTCTACATTACAGAATAACAGCAAATCAAGGATTCTACTTGTTGGGACTAGACAACACATCACCTACCTTTGCGTCTGCAATTCAAAACTCCGTTCCGGCCATTACGTTTCTGATGGCAGCCATTCTCCAGTGAGATCTCCTGTTCTTTTCCTCCGTTTCTCTTTTTCAGTGGGGCATTTGTTTGTTTCTCTAATCGTGCTTTCTTTTGGATTTTCTGTTTTCAGGATCGAGAAAGTAAAATGGAACAGAAAAGATGGAATCGGGAAGGTTATAGGAACGGCCTGCTGTGTGGCCGGAGCTTCCGTTATCACTCTTTACAAGGGTCCGGTGATATACAGCCCAGCTCTGCCGCTGCATAGACCCTCTCCTCCCATGTTTGTTTCTTTGGGAGATGCAAAGGGAAAGAACTGGACCCTTGGTTGTATCTATCTCATCGGCCATTGCCTGTCCTGGTCCGCTTGGCTCGTTTTGCAGGCCCCGGTTCTCAAGAAGTACCCTGCCCGCCTCTCTGTTACCTCGTTTACTTGTTTCTTCGGCCTAATTCAGTTCTTGATCATTGCCGCCTTCGCCGAAAGAGACCCTCAGGCCTGGATTTTTCACTCCGGCGGCGAACTCTTCACCATCCTCTACGCGGTTAGTAACTCTATTCTCGGAAAGTTCCAGGCTTGTTCGATTAAGCAGACGAAATTTGAGTGTGATTTGTGTGGGAAATGCAGGGGGTGGTGGCATCAGGGATAGCATTCGCTGTACAGATATGGTGCATTGACAGGGGTGGCCCTGTTTTTGTAGCTGTTTATCAGCCCGTTCAGACTCTTGTCGTCGCTATTATGGCTTCCATTGCTTTGGGGGAAGAATTCTTCTTAGGAGGGTAAGTGGAGCAATGAGGCCCTGTTAATTTCCATCCCCAACAGTATGATTGACTGCAATCTAATGATCTACAATGTTTGGCATGCACAGGATAATCGGGGCAGCGTTGATCATAGTGGGACTCTACCTCGTGCTTTGGGGAAAAAGCGAGGAGAAGAAGTTTTTAATGCAAGAAAAGGCTGTGATCCAGTCCACTCCGGAGCACGGAAACACCAGGGGATCAAACCAAATCAAGACATCATCCCTCACTCAACCACTCCTCCCTCCATCAACGGAAAACGTTTGATCATACCCTAACTTTTAACCTTGTTGTTTGGCTAGCTGGAAAATGGAAGAAAGTGAAGCACAAGTCATATATATCAGAAAGATTGTGTGTGCGAGGCGTCTTTTTTTTTTTTTTTTTTCCTTTTTTTTTTTTTGAAATTTACCCTCTTTTTTGTTCTTTAGTTCTATAAGAAGGGGTTAATTTTGGAAGGGGGATCATGGAATGATGGAGATGAACAACATCATAATGACCAGTGTCAGTTGTGTGGGCTATCTGGGGTCAGAAATCTCATATGCTTTCTATGTTAATTAGATTTATGGTTTGATTTACGATAAACGATATGTTCATTAATAATGATGATGCTATGTTATTAATTAATTGGACCCACATACGCATAGTAACATAGGCTTATCACTAATGTTTTCCCTTTTAGCTTGAAGACTTAAAAAAGATGGCCAAACATGCTGCAGATTTTATACTCATGAAATTCAATGTGATTTTTTTTTAAAAAAAAAAAAATTAATATGTTCACCAATCAATGTAATTTGGGTATATGGGCATGATGAATCGTATCAATTCGTTGTCAACATGTGAATTGAAGATATGCATATTTTGCGATTGAGGAAAGAGAGAAACTCAAGTTGAGCGGTAGGATCGTTTATAAGATGACCAACAAACCTGGGGGCACAACATGTGAATTCAATATGTTTGACACCTTTTCTCGAATTTTTCCGTTGAAGTAAAATTATTTTTCAGGCCTCAACAGTCTTGTCAGTGAGTAGTTAAGTTTATCGGACTTAACCAAGTTCTTAAATTGTCTGTCTTTAAAAAGAACCTTAAACAACTTTAAACAACCTTTAGTGGTTGTTAGAGCCTCAGAGGTGCTTTATTTAGAGTGAAAATTTATTTATATATAAATTTTATAATTATATTTGTATAAAATTTTGATTTTTTATTTTTTTATTTTTAATAATTAAAATTATCATAACTTTTTAAGTAAAAATATAATTATACTTAATGAATATAATAATAAATAAATAAATTTTAATTATTAAAAATAAAAAAATTAAAAATTAAAAATTAAAAATTTATATAAATATAATAAATAAAATTTATATCTAAATGAATGTATAAAATGCTATTATTTTTTTTGTCTTTATTCTTCCCCATCCCCCCAGTCCCCACATATTCATTTGTTCAATAAAAATAAAATAAAATAAAAAGGAAGAAGGTAGTTGAGTTTGGGGATACCAGCTTGAGAAGATTGGATTGGTCCATAAAAAATATTAACCAATATATGGACCACTTTATCAAATAAATAAAATTTTCAGAGTGGACCTCCTGGTATATAGTATACACATTACAAATAGTTTCCCCATTGGGCCGATTGACCCACAAACAATGTAGATTATTGTTTTTAAATTGGGTTTGATCCTTCAGGTCATGAGGTTTTTAGACTTTTAGTATTGGACTTATTGACCCACAAAAATCTATATCTTTTCTGTGAGTAGGGGAGACAAAAGAGGAATTGACAGAGAGAATACAGAAGGCAAAGAGACGCATAAAAAAAGCAGGAGGGGGAGGGAGATGTAGCGCTATCATTTGCAACAGAAATGCGTGGGACGAAAATGAGAATTAAAAGGGAAAAGCAAGCAAATAATTTGTATTGGTGGCCCTCTCTTTTTGCTTGCTTACACGAAGGGCTTCACTTTAGAAGACTAGCAGTTGGAACTTAATTTTAACTCTTCTTAGGGAAAATAACTTTAATCACCAAAAAAAAAAAAAAGAGAGAGAGAGAAAAAATCATGAAAAAGAAGGGGGTAAATGAACAATAAAAACCAAGATGAAGTGTTCTGTCAAATTTTCCGAGACCATCAATAGAGAGAGGGAGGACGTTTTCATTTTCCCTTCTGTAAACAAAAATCAAAGAATCTACATATGAGTGAGATCCGAAAAATAAATAAGCTCCAAAATCAGAATTTATAAACAGGGACTTCTTATTTCTCACATCATAACAAAGCCATATATGGAACCATGTATGTGTCTGTTACACATGGCGATAGAAACATCTTAGGATACCATTGACATATAAGCACGGCAATGCAAAACTTCATTTTCTTTTTACACGCGTACATTAAAGTTCCACGACAAACCCCACAATAGAACCGTGTGGTTTTCGTGGCCGTCTTTACTCACCTGAACTTGATTTAATATCCTTAATTTTAGCACTGGTAACCCCATTTGCGCATCCTAATGCACACATGCTTATGTCACTCGTTTCTTCCTCCTGCTTCTCGTCCTCTACACGCGCCAGGGAGACTCCCACCCATTTGTGTCCATGCGGCTGCTTGTGGAAAAGCCTGGTTCTTCTTCCATCAATGGAAGATCGAGAGACATGGCTGTCTCTGCCCATATAGACTCGTCTAGCACTGGCATGTTCGCATTCATACTCTCCCAATTCATGTTCTCCCACGGCCCTTCAATTCCCTCTTCAGTCTGGCTGATTTGTATATTGCCCATAGTCAGATTCCAAGGACAATTGATGTTGTTTGGGAAGGAGATGTTTGAGTTATTATAGATTGGGGTAACATCACCAGCCCTCGTAATCAGGGTATTTGATGAACATGTTGTACCTGGGTTATTCAGGTTCGGAGATTGGATCCTTGTGGGTGCAACCTGGGTGCAGGCTGAAGAGGGTTGATCTGGCAAATTCAACTTGGCATCTGATCCATAGAGCTTACGAGCAGCAGCATCATAAGCCATTGCAGCTTCATGAGAGGTGTCAAAAGTCCCGAGCCAGAGACGTGCACCACGATTGGGTTCACGGATCTCAGCCACCCATTTACCCCAAGTTCTCTGGCGGACACCTTTGTAGGTGCAAAGACCATTCTCAGGACCCCCCTTACCTCTCATGCACCCTTTCCTTGAGCTACCCTGCGTTGGCTTCTTTAGCTGTTGTTTCCTTTCGCCAACTCCACCCATTACTGACGTTGACATTGTGCCAACGGATTAATATAGGGTTGGTGCTTGAGTGATAAGCACGTCTGCCAACAGGCGTGGCACTATTTATATGACAGCCAAGGACATAGGGGCTTAAAATGAGTAATTAAGAATACTGAAACGTGTCTTAAGGGGAGTTTGGACAGATACCTGGCATGAAGAACCAGTCTGCCCGTGTTGACAGCAAGGCTAACTAGTATGTCTCCAGGTGGCACACCAAACAAGGAAGGGGAAAAAAAATGGAAAATGTAGATTATTTTCTTTCCTGTGTGGAAATCCATTTCAGTGAAAAAAGGAAGAAAAAGATAATGGTTTTTCAGTCTCGGAACATTGTATTTGGGCAGGGAATGGGAGAACGGTTGGAGATAAAAACATTTGAACATGCGGGAGCGTTTTCTAAAAGGAACAAATGACTATTAGCAAGGTGGTTAGGCTTGGGATACGTGGGGGCTCCCAAGTAGAATGAGGGTATGGGACTTTGGAAGTCAGTGTGCGAAACGGTGGGATTCATGAATCGGTGGGATCCACACTGCCCCTAGTTTCCCAATAGAGATACCCTTGTACGTTGAATCTTTCCGATTTAAAACAGCTATGGCTTCAAGCTTGAAACTCAGATCTGCATCTACACATGACACATGTACGGCATCAAATTCTATCCATGCACTGACTGCGTGAAGGGAAGCTGATACACAGAAACTAGAATGCATTGCTATCAAAACGACACCAAGTGTTTGCATTACAGTGCAGTGTTAGTAACTTGTCACAGATCTAGTGAACCTATATATTAAATGTGAACTTCTTTTTCTTAATGTGATGACGAGGATGCTATACCGTGCAGAATTGAAAAATAGCAGACCCATAAAGGGATAGAAACCTGCATCAATCAAAGCTCTACGGTAAAAGGCTAGGCCTAACAACCTGTCACAACTCATTTCTAAGTCTAGGCCTAACAACTGTCTCTACCATGAATTGCTCCGTGGCAAAAGGCTATCACTGTTTTAGATAGTTTTCAGTTCAGAAAGCGTGCTAAAGCATAAGCTAGTGTAAATTCATAAGGTGCCACTCCAAAATGCCAAGCATTTCCCAGGGATTAAAAACTTACAATGCAAGGCATAATTATATTATATAGCACAGTATAAAGAACAAAAATAGCTTAAACTTAATTTTATATTAATATATACAAACAACAACAAGTACAAATTAAATCATTTGATCATGGTGATATTTATGTTTTACTAGCATGGATATAAAATTCTGACCATGAAGTTTTATCCAAGTCTAAAAAGATAGAAATATGAAACGCAAAAGTCAATATATGGCTGGAATATGAAATTATACAAGTAGACAGATTATAAAAAAGTAAGCTGTGAAAATAAGATGCCAAATTAGAACTTACAAGAAAGAAAGGATGACAATGTCGCTTCTGTTAACCATGGCATTTTGAGGAAACCATCATTGTAACTCTAGAATGTAAGGAGGCCAAAATTGTTTCATGCATTTATCTGGGTGAAAATTCTACCAAGCTTCATTCAGACAACTGAAGCTCCAAGTCAGGTCACATTAAGTGTTACAAACATTTACAACAGTAACACTCTCATGGTCTGACACTTGGTTCCAATGCTCCAACTGAATCCCCACACTCTTTTAAGGCTGACCTTATCTCCTTCAACATCTCATTTACTCTAATGCCTTTCCTGCTTTCAGAAATAAATATATAAATAAATAAACCAATTTCCACTTTGCGTGTTCTAGAATACTCTATTAAACAAAAGGCTTTAAAGTTTGAACAATCATTCCTTAGCGTGCACAAAACTGCATACTTGTGCATGGAGAAACTAGTTAGCAGCGTAATCTATGCAACCTACTCTCCACAATGTATCATGCCAGCAAATATTTTCATTTACTCAAGAGGTGAAAAGCTTAACTGCTTCTTTAAGGTATGAAAATGGAAGGAGGTTATGTAAATTTGGTGAAGTATCTCATCGGCTAGCCTAGGTGTTAGAAACAACATTGAGAAGTTACATTTGATAGGCTTTGGATGCAAGGATACAGTAATAAGAAAGAACAAATGATGAGCCAATGCTTTGGAAGGCAGTGTTTAGGAAGGAAAGACAAAGCGATATAACTTACAAAACACTAACACCCACAACAGCAGCCGGCTGAGGATAGTCCTTGATTTCTTTATCCTTCATATGCTCATAGGATATCTCCGAAGAAGATAGATCTGCCTCTCCAACTTCAGTGGATGATGAATTAACAGCATCTTCATAACTCATTTCTAACTGAGCAGGCACTTCATCACATCCAATTTTTAAGATTTCTTCAATAAAAAATGGAAGCCTACTCGATGCCTGAACTAAGTAGCATAAAATTTAATCTAGTCATTAACTAATCAGACAATGTAAAAATTGTGCATGTAAGCTTCAACACAAGGCTTGCATCCAACCTAAAGCCAATTGACAAAAGATGGAGTAGCCCTCCTTGTATTAACCCACATACTTCTTTATTATACACTCCATGTGGGACTTTCCCACTCAACAGACAAGACCAAAGAAATACTATAACCAAATACCAGTAAAAATAAAATGATGGAAATAGTACAAGGATTCAAATCTACCAATTGAAGAGCCCCTCCATCCCCACCTCCCCAAGAGAAGGAAAAAGAACAACCACAAACCTGAGGAAGGTCTATCTTGTTAAGCACGACTATGTAAGGTCGTTCAAGATAATTGGGATTGTACATCCGCAGTTCCTGTATCATCAGAATTACTATAGTTAACCCATGAAAACTGGAACTTGGAAACGACCAATAGGAAAACAAAAGGAAATACTAAAACTAATGAAAAGCTGAATAACAGCTGTGGAAAATCAGCCTGCATAGGGATCTCTACACTTATACCCTTTTAATATTCCCTTTAAAGTGCAAACAAAAGAACTTCGCAATATCGGTAAACTCAGTAACTCACTGTTCTACAGTCAAATGATAAAGGAAAGATATACCTCTCTGACAGTTATATAGTCATTCACAGGATCCTCAGTAGATGCATCAACAACATGGACCAATAGGCGAGTCCTCCTCAAGTGCCTCAAGAAATTACGGCCTAGACCCTTAGCAATAAAAATGGCTTAGTGAGAAACCAGACAATTTAGAATAAGTAGTTGAACAGGATGCAAGATGCAAAACAAATGATACCTTCCCCAAATGTGCACCTTCTATAAGACCAGGCAAGTCTGCCAATGTAGCTTCAGATGAATACATTCCTGCCCCTAGGGTAGGGTCACCGTTAAGACGCCCAAGGTTTGGCATCAGTGTTGTAAAAGGATAATCAGCAATATCAGGTTTTGCAAGGGTTATGGCAGATAAAAGTGTTGATTTGCCAGCATTTGGAAGCCCCTGCAAGAGCAATCGGTCTCTAATCATCTGAAAATCAACACAACTTTTATACCTAATCCTGATCCAGTATCCTAATGAACCCTGAAATTTTTGTTGAATATAAAATCGACGTTTTTGAGAGACAATGAAGAACTTCAAACAAATTTCCTCCATTTAATTATCTTTCTTACTCTCCACCTGAACATAATTTTTCCCCCCTGGTTTATTACACTGCTACATTTAAACAAAAAAACATCCTTATGTGCCCACAAGAGAGTTAAGTTGTTTCCCTCTTCCTTATATTTTACTTTTTATATTTGGCCACATGATCGAAAGGACCTCATCCTCCTTAGGTCCTAGAATCCCCTTAATATAGGTAAAATTAAAGCTTGAGTTGGACTGGTACCCCAACAAAAGCTTTGAGTAGGAATTAGCAACCAAGCTACTACAGGAATTGCAAATGAAATTGTGTTTTGTTTGCAAATTTAAAGAAGGAAGCTATATGTAAGGTAAAATGCTTACAACTAAACCAACATCAGCAACAACTCGTAAAATCAACTCCAAACTAACTTCCTCTCCAGGCTGACCAAGAACCAAAACCTGTGATAAATAAAATTCTTAATGTTTTTAGTACAAGAAAGGAATATCACTTAATGCCTGATATTGATTCAGCAACCTCATGCCTAAGCAGGAATATCCTTTTTGTGCAGAATGGAGATCAATGAACAAATTTTACCTTCACTGTTGAGGGGATATTTCTCACCCCTTTGATAACCAAACAAAATGGTTAATAATATAAATCTTATTCTTACACTTAGTCTAAATTATGTGTCTATAAAATTGAAACATGAAAATCAAGTCAGGTTGTGCTAAACTAAGAAGCATGGGATGAAACTCATTAAGATACTTAATGAAGAGAGTTAAAAGCAAAATCTTCACCTTATCATTATCATCTCTCATTACGTTTGTTGTTAAAGTCATCATCTTTTTCCTTCTATGCTCTGGCATCTCTAACAAGCTAATCTGCCACAAAACCAAGCAAACTGAAGTATGACTTACCACTGATTGAGATTGAGCATGCACGGTATATCCATGCTTATAATTCCATTATGAAAAAAGCACAGGGGCCTATCATTGCAGAAAAGTAAGCAAATATTTCTGTAGGGGGAAAGGATAAAGTAAAGAAAGCAAACAGAGCATGTAATATCAATAATGGCAAAAAGAAAAACATGCAATATTAACAAATCACCAAATGAAAAGCAAAATGCTATTAACTTAAACTTTCTGGACTGTGTTTTAATTCTTTTATTGGTTTTAGAATGTCAATTTCTCACCCCTCCTTGACCACCCCTTGCAACGAGTACTTCATCACCAGGATGTGCCAAATCAGCTAGTAACGTCCCTCGTTTGCGTTTCACAACTGTACCTGCTACACCAATATAATTGTTAGTACCAACCATGCTCTTCTAACCAGACTAAGGTCATGAAGAAAGTGAGAGTTTAACCATGTATATACTATTTCATTATCTTTGATGCTTTTAACAATTAATTTCTTATCTCCCATTATCTAATGCCAAATATGTCTAAGAAGCATCAACACAATAGCCCATATACAAACCTAGAGGGACAGGAATACGTAAAGTTGGGGCAGCAAGACCATCATGCAATTGGGAAGTTAAAACACCCATGGCATCAACGTTGCCACCACGTTTTGCATTATACCTGCCTTTTTGGTGGAACTCCAGCAACGTATCCTTCCCCTCGTCAGCATAAATTACTACATCTCCTCCATGACCACCCACAGGAAGGATAAGGGAACCATCAAAATCTCTCTTATATGCAATTTTCTTCTTTGCCTTGTTCTTGCCATGTTTTTCTTGCAACTTAGAACCTCTTTGGTTAGGCATACTAAGAATTGCACCATGGCCTCCATCTCCTGAACGAACGGTGATGAACACCTGATCAAAATACTTGTGAGGTTCCTTCAGCAATTTAGCAGGATTTGTTGAAGATGATTCTTCAGCCCTAGTTGTGGTTACCCTGCACTTAATTGTGCAGTATCTCAAGTTCCCTAAATTTCTTTGGGGCCAACAATGCCTATTGCAAAACAGAATATTTTAGAAAGCAACATTGCACAAATCATAAAACTGTAGCAGTGTAGCTTAATGGCAAGGTAGCTTAATGGCAAGATAGCAAAGACAAATCCTACTCCTACTCTCAAAATCACAAAATTTCGCTTCAAATTAGAATTCGAAACATCATTAACCCAACAATTTGCAAAATTTTCCCTATTAATTTCGCTAATTAAGTTTTTATTTAAACGAACTGGAGAATTAAGTAAATGCAAGAAACGCAAAAGATAAAGGAAAGTTGGGAGCAGACCTTCCGAGGAGAAACGAATCGAAGAGCGGCTCATGGTTGGGAAGGCGTAGGGAGAGATGCGAGGAAGAAGATGGTAGAGAAACCAAAGTCACCATTATCCCCTGAGAGTGTGAGAGCAACCGAGCAGGAGAGCTGGAGGTTTACGCGGGACTAGTGGTGATGGCGGTTGGGGACCAGATATTTGCGGCCGTCGCAACTCCCGATTTATTTCTTTCTGCAATTGGCCGTCTCCCAGGCCAGTAGGCCCATGAGGCCTGAACGGGAGGAATATATATATATATATATATTCATTTTGGGCTGGCTCGTCCCGTCCAAACACACAAACATAATCTAATTAATTAATTAATTTTTTAATTTTTTTTTAATTTTCACCTGTTTTTATTTTATCTATTTATAATTTGAATAAAATATTTGGTTTACTAAAATATTTCCAACCAAGATGTTCCTTACATGTTGAGGTGTGGAGATTCTATAAGAGTATCAAAAACACAGGCGTGTCAAATGCTTACTGCAACTCTGCTTCATCACAATGTGATATTCAAAGGGCAAACGGAGAGTGCAATTTACAGGTTATAATACCAAACAAAAAACCTGTCTCTAAATTACACAATAAGTTGAGTTTCTATGGTATCAATTATAACATTAAGATAGCGTATACAAGGGCACATGATTGGATCAACTATACCATGAATCCAAATAAACCGGCACAAAGTTGAACCAAATCCACTTCCCTTTGCAGCAACTTGTGAAAAGTGGCAACCTTCATGAAATGCAGGTGTATCCAGAAGAATGAAACAGCAAGCTTGGCAACCGGAACAGATATGCAGGCAATGATGATACATTCTAACCATGACCGGACCTTACAACAAAAGCACATGCAGATAGGATGAGTGACCTTTTCTCTTTCCTGGCCAAGTATCCTTAATACTTTCCGTTCAGCATTCCAGGAAGTCCTTCAAAGAAAATGGGGGTGGCACATCCTAAGGAACAATAAATCAGACAGAAGTTAGAAAGTCTTAGAACATTATCATGAGTTTCATCTAATTTGCTAGCCGTCCTCTATGGACTTAGAGCAAAAAGAGGTGAATTAAAGTAATTGATGCTTTAGTGTTCAACACTTGTGTTTAAGCCTGTATATTATGGTTAGCACAATTGCATTGAGCCATTTCACTGTAGAAGCAATTATCTATTGATTTGATATGGACAAGGGGAAAGAAGTACATATCCATATACTATAACGTATTACCTTTGCAAGCTCTTGATTTAAACATTGTCTAACAACAGTTGTTTGTTGTATCAGCCTTTCCATGGGTGTACAGCTTGGAAGGTTTGCATGAGCTGATATTATTCATGACCAATAGGAAAACAGTTAAACTTATCAGTCAGATAAAGTACATTTAAAAACAGTAATGCTAAAATAACATAATCAACAGATAAGTTTTAGAAGAACAAACACAACCCTAGATAAAAGATGCGCACAGTAGTTATAGAAAACAAACCAAGAATTGCTCGGTTCAAACTCTCTACAACAGGCTGCCGGTACTCAATGCTAAGGAGGTGATTCATTGGGGATTTCTCAGGTTCATCAAAAGCAAGAAGTGTCATAAAATTCTGCAGAAACAGCAAACTACATTTCACTCTCTGATAAATAAATTGCACATATACATTAGACGTGTGACAGATAATTTTACAGAGGAACATACTTCAAGCTTTGCAACAAAGTTTTGAACATTCCCCAAAGGGGACAACTTGGAGCGAGCAAATTCCAAAGCTTCTGTGCTGCCAGCCAGAGGAAACAAAAATTTTCAAGGAAAGGAAATGAGTGGTTCATAATTGTAAATATCTTTTCTTTGTCTTCTCACATTTTCCTAGAGCGTACAAGCTCAACAAAATGAAGGCTCAGAAGATCAAAATGCAAGTCCTTGTTTTTCTCTAGTAAGTCAGGGGCCAGCTCTTCTGTAAGTTCAATAGCCTTAAGTGCATTCCCCTCTAGTGCAAGAGTAAAAATCCCTGAGAATAAATCCAGAGTAATTATTGACACAGACTATGTTAATTCAAATCATTAATACATAATGATGAGAAGATGAATGCCAATCAACTGATGAGGCTGGCTGGTAAGATCTGCACTTCTTCTCCCATTACCTTATTTCCAACATTTTTTGTCTGACTTCTAACTGATCTGGTTAGCACCCAGGGTGCGAGTGGGTATGCTTATTTAAAGTGCAGATAACCAGCAGCATATTGTACCTAATTTTTCTTTAAAGATATGAAAATGCATATATTCAGTTCTGCCATTTGACATCTCAGCTAATCATGCATTTATTAGCATGATTAGCATCCATATCATAGTGACTATAAAGAATTAATGCAATCCATAGGCAGCTTGAAAATTCTACCAAGAGACAAAAGCTTCACCTACTTTTTCTTTTCTCCATATGGTCAAGATAATCAGAAGGCTGTTTCATTCCAGTAGAGGCAATAAAAGAGTCCACAGTTTCCTTGAAGCAATTATGCACAAGATAGGACATAACAATGCTGTGGATGTCATTATCATTGACCGCCTGTAAATGACAGAAGCTCCAAAATACAAAAAGATATGTAATAATGTAAAACATAACCATAACAATACAATATCATAAATTTCAATTAATTTAGCCACACTGTGTCAAGAAAGAGTTAAAAAAGAAAGCATACACAAAGCGGTGGAACCATTCACAATAACATGAAAAGTAAAACCAAAAGAAAAGCTTCCACATATGATGAAAAAAAACTATACAAATTATGATCCAACCTCAACAAGGAAATAGTTCTCCTTCTCTCAAGGCAATGCTAAGGATATTATTCCTTTAATCAGAAGAAACAGGTTAAAGATGATTTTTTTAAAACAACAAGTACCCAAATAACATACCCTGTTACAACATTCATTACTGTTAGAAACTAAGTTTTTGCAGAGCCACAAGATTTAACCAAATGAAATCCATTTTTCAGTCCAGAATAATACCACCTCCAAGAATATGGCATAGACTTCTTCCAATCAAGTTGTTCACTCAAATTGTAATATTAATATAAACGAGAGAAGAACATAACAAGAACCCTAATTAACCTCCACAAAACGCAACTTCTAACACAATCAGCAGTCATAATTCATAAAAAGGATATCAACCCAATAAGTAAAACAAAATCATTAATTCGAAGAAGTCTAAATACCCTATTCCTATACAATACAAACACACCAAAAAGGCCAAGATTTTTCTCCTGGATCAAATGAGGTAAAAAGTAAAATTTCTTCCTGCCAATGCGATTAAGCAAATTTAATTATCAGAAACAAAAGGGCAGTCGACGATTACAAAAAGAAAGTTTCAGATTCCTGAAGAGAAAATAAAAGGAGAAATTTAAAGAACAAATAAAGTAGAAAGATTGAAACTTACAATTTGTTCGTATTGACGAGGATCAACATCCATAATTGCGTAGATTAATCTTAGAAATGGGCGCTGAAACCCGAAAGTTGGTGTTTGAAGGTGAGAAATGGGTGCTTTGTGGGATTGTGGCGAGGCGTTGTTGGTTCTGCGTCTCCCTCTAACCGTGCACATGAGATAGCGATCGGTAACTTTGTGCCGGAAATCTGATTGTCTCTAAGGACCGAAGGATAACTAAAAATGCAGTCCCCTTTGACATTTGCACACGTGTCTCTCTGTCTTTAATTGGAAAAAAAAGAGGGGGGGGGGGAATTGAGGAGAGAGAGAGAGAGAGAAAACAAATAAGGGGCTGTTTGGTTTAGGGAAAATACTCACAAGGTTGTTTTTATGATTTGTTCTGTTTTTTGTTTGGCTAACTGGAGCCGAAGGTCATTAGTTTGGTGTTCCTGCATTCTTTTTGGGCACGGTTATTGCCACACAATCTTTTAATATTATGTTTAAAAATATTTTATGATTGATAGAACTGTTCATAATTGTAATTGTTTTTTTTTTTTTTGGAACAATTTTACAAGAAGTTTGATTTGAACTGTTATCCGAAAAAAAAGAGATACACTTAAACGTGACTTGATATTACTGGATTCGAAGGCCCAAATGCATTCATAATTGTAATTGTTAATTGGTAATTAATAAAATAAAAAATATTTATTATTTAACATACTGATATTTCTACCTATTCTAATCAATTACTTAAGAAAAAAATATTTTAAATTAATAAAAACACTCAAACTAATTATAATTTATGTGACCTTAGTATTTATTTGTTTTACAACAACCATTGCCCTTCTATGCATGCAAGAGTTCCGACTTTTTTACTTTTTTTTTGTTGCGTTTCATTTAATTTTGCAGAAAAGATGTGCCACCTAATAATGGAATAACATTTTTTAATAGAATTAGAAGTAACTCCGCATTAAGGGTGAAGAAACATCTTTTTCGTTAATAATTTAACTAATTACTTTGTAAGTATTCCTCAACGATGATGTTTCTGTTATGTATGTGATATGGTTATCTACTAGTCCATTCCAATAATTTGGATCACACGGTATTGATTCTTTGTGGTGGTTCAGAAAAAAATGGAAAAGGGTTGTCAAGAACTCATGGGGAACAAGGAGGGGGGTGGGGTGTGACTGGTTTACATTTACATGCTGAGGAACAGTGGCAATTCCGAAAGGCGCAAGGATTAAGGTAAGGGCATCGTCACATGAAATTAGTTCAGTTTTATAATTTAATCAACCACATGCACTGTTCAGCTCTTCCTATGTTTTTCAACATAGAATGTGATCAAATGATGTAAGACAAAGACTTGGCACCATCCATTAGTTTTCTGGTTCATCTTCATTTCCTCAATGGATTATGCCTTCTGGGTTTCTGGCAAACATCTGCCTTCAAATAATTCTCATAGGATTGATACCAATGCATGCAATGGACAGAGGATTAAACACTCCAAAGTCCTAACAAAATCTGTCTTGAGCAATTCTTATACTACCGCAGGAAATTCAATGAAGTTTATGAAGAATTACGTGAAAGCTTTATTCAGTGTATCTACAATTCTAACGACAAACGCTAGGAATTCAACACATGGGTGATGAACATCAAAATTCACTCCTTTATAGATCATTCGTGTACAGATGAATACCTATATTTACCAAATTCTCACCCAGGTTGATTTATCCATGACTTTGATCAGGATGAGGGAAACGCATCTTTCACTGCAGAAGCCGCTGTCAAGTAATTCAGAGTGTTCCTCAAGGTCTCCTTTTCCCTCTTTAACCTAGCTGCCGTATCCTCCAACTCCAGCAACGCCTGTTGCTCCCTTGGGGCACCCTCGAATGTGCTCCCCACGAAAAAGGAAAAGGGGGTCGGAAACAGATTCCTCCGGAGATCCTGGGCTTCCTTTTCTGGCTTCCCGTTCAGCCGATTGGACAGCCGAATCACATCCTTCATGTACCCCTCCACCTCGTTTGCAAGTCCCTCAAGGTCCTCATTCCCCGACGGCCTGTCCTCCAGCCAGTTGACCTCTGCGACGAGATATGGCTTTGTTCGGACAATACCAGTGATGCGGAAGCGTTCTTGGCCTTTGCAGATGAGGAAGAACCGGTCATCAACGAGGCGCTCGTGTTTGATGATCTCGCCGACGCAACCCACTTCGGCAGTTCCGGTGACCGCATCGGAGTAGATTACGCCGAAGCGGAGGTCGGTCTGGAGAAGGGTGTGCATCATAATGCGGTAGCGGAACTCGAAGATCTGCAATGGAAGAATGGCGCCGGGGAAGAGAACCAGTGGCAGAGGGAACAGAGGCAGCTCGACGACGTCATCGGATTTAGGTGGATTCGTGTGATGCTTCTCAGGGAAAGAAGAGGCGGAACACCGGAAAGAGCTGAGACGGTGAAATCTGCGGCTGAGAAGCGACTGGGACAGCGGTGGCGGCCTGGAAGGGAGATTGAAATTAGGGTTTAAGGGATTGGAGGAGGCGGAGGAGGGGTTTATGGAGGGCTGGTAAGTGAGAGATGAGGAAGAAGTAGAAGGGATTAGCTGAGGCAGAGCCATAGGGAAAGAGTGAAAATTCTAAAATTCTAAAATTGATTTTCCCATTTCTTTTCTTCTTCCTATGTTTGGTTAGGTTTTTCCTGGAAAATCCAGTGGATAATATTGTGGGGGCAGAAGTTGTGGCATTGTGGATCGGAGGATCCCACGTGGGAGTCGGGTTACCTGGAGATTTAGTGGCACGTGCGAATCCTTTGGAGTTTAATTTCAGGAATAATTCTGGTGGCACCACGCGTTTGCCAAGTCACCTTCTGTGCTTAGGAAATATCTTTGTGGATTTGGTTAAATCTCTGGAAAGATGAAAATCTCTGTCCGTCCGTCCTAATATGTCGAGTTTTGCAGCGGATACCGTATTCAATCATAAAATCAAGAAGGGTGATA